AGGACAGTGTTTGAAAGGTGAGGAACCTATGGTGGCGAAATTTTAAACTAATAGAGCTTCACATTGAGCCATTGTGATGAGGCTATGTATTATGCATTCGGAGAACTTTGGCTACAACTTATTGTCTATAAATTTTCACACTTAGTGTTGTTTGAAAGTAATTGATAGTTTTGTATTTCTCAAACTAGAAATACCAACTCTACTTCCCCTTCTCCTTTCATGTTTCTGCCATACCAGGTTGTCTATCTGATACTTAACTTGAACATTAGAGTACGTCAGATTGCAACCTTTACCACTTTACTTGGAGAAGCCATGGTCTGCGCCTCCAACTTGTACGCCTAAATATGTATGTGGAAAACAAGTATAAGAAAATGAGTAGATTCTGTACACATGTCGAATCTCAGCCAAATTAGGAGGTAAACAAATTTCACAATTAGTATAACAAGGTATTAGTATATATGAACATGTAGTTTGATTACAAATAACTCAAATTACTTGACGACTAATAGAATTCTATTTTTTAAAATGTGATTTTTAAATTGGAATCTAATTTCTCCAAATTTTGCATTAAATATTAAATATAATATTAAAAATCCATTTCATTATTGAAAAAGTGTTAAACACACAGTTACATATAGGTGGACTCCAGTCAATTGAACAGTTATCTCTTTTAACTTGTGTGCATAACATTAGAATTTTCAAGTTTACTCTTATCTCCTTGGCACAGTTCCTAAAATTGATTTTCTATAAGTTCTTTTAAAATGATGTATTCAACTGGGACGTTAAGAGATTTTTGGAGATTTAAAATGTTTATACGTATTCAATTAAGGCTTTTAAAGACTCTGTAAAAGTTTAGGCCTATTCAATATAGATTTTATAGACTTTTAAAAAGCCTCTAAAAGTTACGAGGTATTCAATTTGTTGGGAATTTTAAGCCAATTTCCTTTATTTCTATTTATCTACAGGATCTTTTGTTTTTCGAGAGAATATTAGCAAAAAAGGAATATAAAGTGCAAATTAAACTGACCATCAAAGCCTTTCACTATATGAAAATTGTTACAATCATATAAAATTGCATTTACCAACTCAATCCCCAAGTATTACAAAGAAAAATAAACTTGAGCTTTACCACACTCACTTTTTCACTCTTTTTATGAAAGCTCTCAAGATGCTAAGCTAACAATATTTCTCTCTCTCGAATCACTCTCAGGCCACCCATTCAAAATAATAAAATGCATCTACTAATTGTTGGATCAATAATCAAGTAGAAGAGTTCAATTTCGACTAAAACAATGACTCCTTCATGTGCAAGACTCCAAAATTGGAGACCGAATTTTACGAGGATTGTACTCTCAACTTTATTTAGTAGTCGTCCATACAACCATTAACTTTTATTATTTGCAAAAAAAATCCTTCAAATTTTGACTTTTGAGGCAATTACCCAACCATCTTCACCTTGCCCAAAGTGAGTCAAAATCTCATTATCTCTTCTACAACTTTTAATCACAATACTTTGGAAAAACGGGTAAGCCATTGACGCACTTTAACGGTCCCACCATATGAGTATAACCACTCAGAAATCTGTGAACTCCGAGCATTTCATCGGCTACATATCGAAACAACCTTGCTGATAGTTACGATACAACTCTCCCACTAACTTTCCAAAAGAGCCCATCAACTATCAACATCACAACACCACCACATACCTACACACCTTGCATCAAATGTCAGTCAATCCTATGTGCGGATATGCTGACCCGCGCTAGTAAAAGCATATCCTCTATCATGACAACTGGCAACATACTATGAGGATGTTCCTATTTTACTTTACAGCACCACAACTGCATCTTCCTCTATTGAGAGAGATGCATTGTCCGACCCCAAGCAATTAGCTAACCGTGCTCCACCTTTTGGACAATTTTTCTTCAGGTAGTTAGTTTGACTGCAATTTCAACAAGTTTCTTTCTTTCTCATGGAGTTGCTTTCTTTTTCTTTTCAATCACAAGCCCCGCATTGTCAGATGGAATATTCTTTCCCCCCTAAACTTCTGTCTTTTGAGATGAAGTTGCTTTGTCATTTCTGCGAAACTTACAGTTTTCTTCTCATACATTAAAATTGACTTGATATCTTCATAGATAGACAGAAGAGACCAGATGAGCCGTATGCCTTATCATCATCATCTATCTTCACTCCAATAACCTCCAGTTCTGAAAAATCCCGTTGAGAGCACTTGGATGGTTTGAGATTTTCATACCTGTCTTCATGCGCAATGAATGAAATTGTTCATTTAGGTACAACTGATTTGAGAGGCTCTTCGTTTGATATAATTATTCTAGCTTCTTCCATAGTTCCTTTGCAGCAAATATCCCATGAATATTTTCAAAAACATTTTTAGCCAGACAGAGATGTATCGTGCTTGCAGCCTTCAAATCCAATTCTTCCTAATCTTCATTGCTCATTTGGTTGGTTTTCATTTCAAAGCCTTGTGCAGTTAGCTTGAATCAATAAATCCCTAACTTGTAATTACTGCAAACCAAAATTGATTCTCTCGTCAAATTTCTCCACGCCATATTTCAATGACGGTATATCTTTTTGTTGCTCCAATACTCCGAACCACCTAACGGTCTGATACCACTTGTTGGAAATTTTACGCCAAATCTCTTCATTTCTATTTATCCACGGAATATTTTGTTGTTCAAGAGAATATTAGCAAAAAAAATAATACAACGCACAAATTAAATGGACCGTAAAAGCCTTTCACTATATTAAAATTGTTACAATTATATAGAATTTCACTCACCAACCCAATCCCCAAATATTATTAAAAAAAAATCTCGAGCTTTACTACATCCACTTTTCTGCTCTTTGTATAAAAACTTTTACGATGCTAGGCTCATAATATTTCTCTCTCTCGGATCAGCTCTCAGGCCACCTACTTGAAGTAACAATATACATCCACTATTTGTAGGATTAATAATCAAGTAGAAGAGTGCAATTTCAACTCAAACAAGGACTTCTTTATGTGCAAGACTTCAAAATTGACTGTAAAATTGAAGAACAAATTCTGCGAGAATTCTGCTCTCAACTGTATTTAGAAGTCTTCCATACAATCATACCTTTTATTAATTACAATAAAAGTTCTTCAAATTTTGACTTTTAAAAAAATTACCCAGCAATCTTCACCTTGTCGAAAACAAGTCAAAATCTTGTTATCTCTTCTACAACTTTTAATCACAATACTTTGGAAAAATAGGTAAGCCTTTGATGCACTTTAACAGTCCCATTCTCCACCATATGAGTATAACCACTCAGAAATCCACGAACTCCGAGCATTTCATCGACTACATGTCGAAACAACCTTGCTGATAGCTAAGATACAACTCTCCTACTAACTTTCTAAAAGAGTTCATCAGCCATCGACATCACAACACCACCATATACTTACACACCTTGCATCAAATCTCAGTCAATGCTATGTGCAGATATGCTGACCCCATGTAGTTAGTTAATCATTCTCAACCTTTTGGACAATTTTTCTTCACATGGTTAGTTAACTGCAGTTCCCACAAGTTTTTTTCTTCCTCATAGAGTTGCCCTTATTTTCTTTTTCAATTACAAGCCCCAGATTGTCAGATAGAATATTTTTCCTAAACTTTTTTCTTTTAAGATCAAGTTTCTTTGTCACTTCTACAAAACTCACAATTTCCTTTCCATACATCAGGATTGACTTGATATCTTCGTAGATAGACAAAAGAGACTAGATGAGCCGTAGTACCTTATACTCATCATCTATCTTCACTCCAGTAGCCTCCAGTTCTAAAAAGATCCCGTTGAGAGCACTTAGATGGTCTGAGATTTTTGTACCTGTCTCCATGCGCAATGAATGAAATTGCTCCTTTAGGTATAACTGATTTGAGTGGCTCTTCGTTTGATATAGTTTTTCTAGCTTTTCCCATAGTTCTTTTACAGCAGATATCCCATGAATATTTGCAAAAACATTTTTAGCCTAATTGAGATGTATCATGCTTACAGCCTTCAAATCCAATTCTTCCCAATCCTCATTGTTCATTTGGTTGGTTTTCATTTTAAAGCCTTGTCCAGTCAGCTTGAATTATTAAATCCCTAACTTGTAGTTGCTACAAGCCAAAATTGATTCTCTAGTCAAATTTCTCCCCGTCATATATTTCAACGATGGTGTATTTTTTTGTTGCTTCAGTACTCCGAACCACCTGACGCTTTGATACCACTTGTTGAGAATTTTACGCCAATTCCCTTTATTTTTATTTACCCGGAGAATCTTTTATTGTTCAATATAATAATAATAATAATAATAATAATAATAATAATAATAATAATAATAATAATAATAATAATAAGAAGAAGAAGAAGAAGAAGAAGAAGAAGAAGAAGAATAATAATAATAATAATAATAATATAACGCACAAATTAAATGGACCGTCAAAGCCTTTCACTATATTAAAATTATTACAACTATATAGAATTTCACTCACCAACCCAATCCCCAAGTATTATAAAGAAAAATAAACTCGAGCTTTACCACACCCATTTTTTTACTCTTTATAAAAACTCTTAAGATGCTAGGCTCATAATATTTCTCTCTTTTGAATCAACTCTTAGGCCACCCACCCGAAGTAATGAAATACATCCACTATTTGTAAGATCAATAATCAAGTAGAAGAGTTCAATTTCAACTCAAACAGTGACTCATTCATGTGCTAGACTCCAAAACCAGCTGTAAAATTGGAGATCAAATTCTGTGAGGATTCTGCTCTAAACTTTAATTTGAGATCTTCCATACAATCATTACCTTTTATTATTTGTAATAGAAGACCTCCAACTTTTAACTTTTGAGGCAATTACCCAACCCAATTGAAAATTTTTAATTGTCTATAAATTATGGGATATTTGATTGTGAATAACTTTTAGGAAATTTATAACTTGCCAGATTTCTAAAGACTTTTAATTTTTTAGAAAATAAAAATAGGAAATCTCTAAAGAAATATCCCATCTATGTAGAGATTTCTCAAACCAGAGTCGACCTCCTCTCTTCTCTTTCACAATCCAAGGTTTTTTTCCATGTCTTCCAATTAGGTTAAATTTGCTTTGAATCTTTGCTTTGAGTTTTTCTTTATTAATAGGGTACATCTCTACCTCTCTCTCTATGAGTTTCCTGTTTGATTTGTGATGGGTAAAGATGATTGTTAATTGAGTTTTTTTTTCCTTGATTTCATCCTTCATATGTAAAGAATTGAATTTTTGCAGATGGCTGGCATTAGGGTTGCCATTACAGGTATCAAATGTTATTTGGAAGAATAATTTTCGAAATTGGGCTAAAATCTCTCATTATTGTCATACAGAACCTCATGGGATTTTTTCAATTCATTATAACTAGGTTATGAATTGCACATGTTTGATTAATTGTTTGAGAGTTTTCATATTACAATAATCGTAGGAGAGATTTTGCATGTCTAATCATAGGAGAGAATTTTCATGGCGGCTGTTACCTGATGTTATGCCCATCCATCCAGTTATGTTTGGGTCAAATAATTTTATTTGTAGTGAAGAAATGGATCAAAAGATTTGGTGCACTCGTAACAATATGTATTTTCCTTTAAAGTTTTGAACTAATATTCACTGTAGTAAGGGTGACGTTTGGATGTCTTACTTTCACATGGAAATAGTGGTCTTTACTCTTAAGAATAGTTTTCAAGGATATAAAGCTAGAAGACGTACTATAACATCTTCAATTTTTAATGATGCCTTATTTTTTAACATCAACTCATGATGAAGGCCAACCGTATGGTGGTTTTGAAAGGAGTTGTCTGTTTATGAGTTGGAATTATTAATAGATGGAGACTGGAGTCATTTCTGCGTCATATAATTTTAACAGTGATATGTAGCTTGACTAGAACTCTTTATTGGATGATTTAAAGTTCAGGGAACAAACATAGAATCCATTGTCTTTAAGCTTGTCTAGGTATGGAGTGGTTAGTTTTGAAGTAGCAGAGGTGATGGAAGACATATGAAGGTCGCAAAATTTTAGGAAATGGCAGATAAGGAACAAAAGGATTGGGGCGATTTTTTTTCCCCATTTTGTTATTTGGTGCCATGTTAATAAAATCTTATTGAAAGAAAACGTCTTATTATGAGTTTTAAACAAAACAATCATTTTGAATTGTGGGGGTGACCCCATTGAGTCCATCAAATGAAAAATAAAAAATATATATATATAACATTAGTCAATAGATGAAGTGGGATGTATTAGATATTCTGAGCATTGACATTGACCCCAAACCTCTTGTGCCTATTTCCATATTCATGCAAGCAATACTTTGGAACTAATAAATGCTGGACAGATATTGGTCTCAATTAGAGTCTGATTTGTATAATCTAAATGTTGGGGCATAAGTGCTTGACTAATAAATGATGTAGATATCAATAGGCAGCTAAATGATTCAAGGAAGAAAAAGGAAAAATATGAAAAATGGACATGGGAAGAAAGCAATGAGTTGCTAAAACTTATCGTTGATGCTGTCACTCGTGGTTGGCACGATAGTAATGGTGTGTTGAGCAAGATAATTTAGAAAAACATATAATTCCCCATCTTAACCAAAAGCTTGGGATTGAAAAGACTCAGGGTAATACCCCGAACTTCATTTTGCACTTTTGTCCAATATGATTCATGCATTTTATCCTGTTTACAATGCCATTTGCATTAATTTCCTAATTGCGTTCTTTTAAAATGGTGCGTTCAATTTGTTGAGGTTTTAAGATCTTTATATGGTGTTAGTCTTCGACTCCTCGACCTAGATGGTGAATTTTACATTGAGGTATGATAGAAAATTAGGCTAATTGAGATATTGGAGAATGACTTGTTAAGAAATAGGGATCTTGAAAAGGCTGGAATTAGTATCGACAAAGTTTCAAGTTTTCTATTCAGTTGATTAAGGTTACCCTAAACCCTAGATAGATAATTGAAATATTTGGGACTTGAGGCATGAAGTGACATAATCATGATACAATAATATAAGTTTCATATAACATTATACATATTGAGATACAAATTTTTGAAATCAATCGAGAATCAAGTTTCAATCGGGTAAGTAATTAAATGAACGGTTAATAATATTTTGGAATCTTAAGACAAGTAAAATAGATTGTAAATACATTAAAATAAGCCAAAGACACTTGATTTGTACCTGTAAAGATAGATGTAAAATCAGATTTTTACTAGAAGGAACACATCATGCCTGTTGATTTGTCTTTAAAAAGGCCAATTCCTTCACTCTTAAGCATCATTAGTCACGCCTACAAATCATTTAAGACTTCATATATATAGTATATTAACCCCCAAAGTTACACATAAATCCTTCAAGAATAGGAACAAGAAATTAGATTTTAACTAAAAGAAGACACCTCCTATGTAATGCTTGGTGATGTATCATTTTTACATTCGATTCCTTTAACCTTAAGGCCTTCATTGCATCTCTTAACCCTAAGTACCTCACATATGATAGATATGTATCATATAAGTCACTTACGGCTACAAATATTATACGAAAAAATTCAAATTTTGCTGCACGAAGCCACCTTTTGCTTAAGACGTGTCATCTTCATTAACGTGGCTACATGTAACATTTTCTTAAATCCTTAAGCAAGAGTCAAGACATGCAATCCTTTAAGACTCTTTATATACCACCTACTAAGATATTTAGCCTTTCAAGTTATTTCCAAGTGACCCGAAGTGAAAGAGAATACAAAGAAAATAGAGAAAAGTAGAAACAAGAAGTTGGAAACTGAATTTTTGGATAGGTGAGTTTAGCTCACGATTTTGAAGATTATTTTCATTATTTTTGAAGGTGTAATCTTTTAAGCTTTTGAAATTGCTTGATATTATGTTGGGATAATGTTGGGGATATTATTATGGAACATATTTTCTTGGACATTTATGTTATATAAGTGTGGTAAAATTTTGGGAGTTGATTGATGTAATTGAGAGTATAAAAAGGAGGTCAGGAAATGAATCGGGCAGCAATAGAAATTTAAAAATAGATTATGTCCATCTTTAGATTTCATATAGTTCCACCTTCACATGATCACTAATCACTTCTAAAGCTTGGAAATTTTGATTTAAATGAGTTTTAGGATTTTAATGATCGAACTAAATGATGTTTGTATTCGTAAAACTTGAAAATGACTGGAATTATACGGTTAGTTACTTTAGTGTTAATCTAGAACATGTTGGCATCTAAGGTCTTAAAATATAATTTGTATGTGTGTGTGTGTGTGTGTTAAGGTTATCAAATTGAGGAACATGTTTAATATTAGTTGGTAATACGGTTGTCTTCCAATGTTAGGTGAAAAAGAGACTTAACCTACACCTTGTAGAAAGATCACACACAAAGGCAAAAAGGTAAGTAAAAATTCATTTACTACTATGATACAAGAACATAGTATTTGTGAAATATTCTCTATAGAGAATTGTCGTAACATTTATATGACATTGATAAGGAGATCATGGCATACCATATGATTGTTAGGATGATTGAGTATGTGGCCCTGAAATATATTGATTTAGCATGCCATTCACTAGTATTTGCATATGTATGCATGACATGTCCATTGTTAAAAATTTAGCATGCACAACATGACTGAAAAAGTGAATTTATGACATAAAAATATTTTATTGACCACTACTAGGATACCAAGGCATATGAGATATGCATATGTGACATGTTTTGGCGTCACGGGTAAGACTTCCCAGGTGATCATGGAGGGTAGACCACTGGACTGTACCTTTGTGACAATATGATTATTGACACTGCGGGTGGATACTTTTTGGATGATCATAAGGACAGTTAGGGAATGTACTTCTAGTGATCACAAGAGGATATCATATTAGCCATTGGATTATTGATTGATATTTAAGTTGCACAGGGCTCTGTTTGGTGAATAGTAAGTGGATCAAAATTCCAATGAAAGGAAAAGATTTCAATTGAAATTATTTTGAGTTAACTTTGACGAATATTTGAATACGATGCAAAGCATGATGTTTTAAAGAAACGACATGGAGGCATATACTCATATTACTTATACTCATAGAAAGCATGCCTTTTACTTATTAGGCATTAGCTTAGATAGTTTTTGCATTGTAGGTGAGCATGGAACTTCACAGAAGACATGGCTAGCTTTGAAACTCTTACAGGATTCCAAAGTTTAATGTACATTGATGACGACCTATAAGGTTGTTTTGTGAGCTGTTGTTTTGATCTTATAATCTATTGTGTTATAATTTGAGGATCCTATATTTTATCTATATAACTTTTGAAATGGTATGGTAGATATCTTTGTAATCCTCAAAGTAAATACGTTAAAATTTAGTTATATAGTATTTGGTCTTAACATACTATACGTACATCATAGACGATTAGTCAAGAATATACAGGGACCTTATTGTGAAAATGTTTATTTTATTTTATCATGTCTGATATAGCGGGAAGTTGGATCCTAGTAAGGGCCATGTCTAATCCTTTGGTTCCTTTTCCAGTTGAAATAGAATCGTATGTCTAGGTTAGGTCATCAAATTTTATTTCAATATAGGTTAGTATATTTTTGTATATATGAATAGGGTTTGACAGAAAGTGGTATCAGAGTGAGGTTGTAATTCTGTAGACTATCCATTTACATGATATCAAATTATGAAAGAACACAACTAAGCCAATAAATTTTATTTTGTAGCAGTACTTGCTGCTTACTTCATGAATGATATTGATCAATCTTTATTTGCAACCATGGTAAAAACTAGAGACGCTAGTAGGAGTGGAGCTAGAATCTAATAAGAGACATCTATTTAAGATCATAGTGGGGATGTTATCGATAGACTTACAGAACTAGTTGAGCAATAATCTCAATAAATTCAACACTTAATACAACTAAGAGAAAGAAAAGAACAACAAAGCGCTAAATTTTTACAATCACAATAAAGACCTGAACAAATTGACAGTTGGGGACAGATTTAGAAAACTAAACCCTCCAATATTTGAGGATACATTAGACCCAACAATAGCAAAGGATTAGTTGAGAACTTTAGAGATTATGTTCTAATACACGAAAGTTTCAAAGGTAGGAAAAGTAGTTTGCGCATCATTCATGCTTTAAGGTAGTGTTGGACACCAGTGGGACACGATAAATAGCATTGAAGATGTGAACGCCATGAATTGGGATAGATTGAAAGTGTTATTTATGATGGGGATAGTATTTGCCAAAGAGAGCTTGGGTCATTGCTCTTTGTATTGTAAATGGTGGATTGTCCCCAACTGTAAATATATGAAATAGACTTTTCCATTCTTGTTTAAATTTTGCATTACGGTTGTGGCTTGCTGAAGCGTAATTGGGAGTTGAATTGTTTTCTTTGTTGTTTTTGGACTCATAATCAATGACACGTCCTTTGAAATGCATTTTTCGAAAAGGAGAGGAGATGCCTTAGTTGAAGCGAGTCTGTTACACTTGGTGGAAGTTATGATAAGAGTTCGAAGGAAGAGGCGATGCCTTAGTCGAGGTTAAGGCAAGCCTGTTATACTTGGCGGAAGTCATGATAAGACTTTGCAGGAAAGTTTGTTTGTCTATTTGTGTGAGTTATGTTTGTAATTTGCTTGTGGTCATTATTTGGTATTGAGGGCATATATAGGTCAAAGGCAAGTGAGAAAATAAGATGTATTTTAATTGCAGTAAATTTGAACATAGATGAAAATAGACTATCTTAGGAATGATAATAAAAGAAAAGAGAAGGTCAGAAATGAGGCGAATGTGGCTACACGGTCAAGTGATGGCCCTAATGAGGTTTATTGAGAGTAAACTTGGTTACTGCATGTGTATCTGTATGTAATCTTTTTTACATGTGTGTGATTGCTTAATTCTGTTTCATTGATATGTTACACTTTCACATTTTTTTGTGCTGAACTGTATGAATTAAAGTGATCTTATTACTTGGTGTAATGTGTTTGCATACATAATGGGTTGAGATTTATGGCATACTCATTTTGCTCTGTAGTGGTGTGAGAGTGTGGTAGTAAGAAGAAAGAAGAATGGTCGTTTTTCTTTTATCTTTGTAAGTATGTGTGGTTTGTGAGATTATGTGGGGTAGCCATATATAGGTTATCATCTTCCTCTTTTGTAAGTTTAGTGAAGGAACCGACTCTTTCTTCTATTCTTTTTATGAGTATCATCTTCTTCTTTTCTTTTGTGGATTTTTTGATTGAAGCAACCTTCTGGTGTGTGGATCAATTTAAATTGAGCCCTAACATTTGTAGTAGTCAAAAGGTATTGATTTGTTATAGTGGGTTTGTGATGCACTAACAGTGAATATGTCTTTTTGGTAAGGTAGAGTATAGATGCCTTGGGATACTTGTGTCATTTGGATCACAAGTGGAGATGTGATTTAAATATTAGAATCCTTTATTTGTAAAGAGAACTTTATTAGGTAGAGTGTGGGAGAAGCACTCAATCACTTCTGTTAGGTGGTGGCCCATTATCCATAAAGGTTGGAAGAAGTGATGTGATGATGAGGATTATCCTATGGATTTAGGATCTATTGTGGCTTATTAGTTAGACATGACTTGTGTGATTAGCCTAGTGAGCATGGTGGGTGGTGAGAGGAGATATGTGTTCTCGAGGTGTAAGCAACACGGAATGGGATATGATAAGTTTGGTAAGATCTTTCATGGGGTCAGTTATACATTTGTTGCATGTGTTTTGACTATTTGATTGATTAACTTAGTGTTAATCTATTATTCTATATGGATTTGATTTTGGAAAGATCTATCTGTTATCCTATATAATATCTTCATTGCATAATTATTAGTTCTTGATTGTTCACTATGATTATCTGCTTCTACTTGGGTATTTTGTTTGTGGTCTTAGCCCTGGTGAATATATGGAGCAAGTGTGGTATGTGTTTTGTTTCCGAAACACGAGGTAAGGTCTGTGATCCCAATTTTATTTGTTATCTTGATTATGCAAGTATTAACTTGTGTTTTGATTGCTTGCAAATTGATTAGGTATCAAAGTTGAGAGTTGTTACCCAATAAATCTTGGCAATGATTTAAAACAGTTGATAGATAATTTATCGACACTATAGACTTGGCGCAACCAAAATACGATCGACCTTTTTGGAGAGCCCAAGTTGGAGTTGGATTTGTTGTTGATGGTATGTGAGTCTTGGCCCAGTTGTTATTAAGTTTGCCTCGATTTTTGGTAGTCCATTTGTTAGTTTAAACTTTAGTTCATTGTGGCCCACTTACATTATTGTTGGCCCATTAAGTGACCTAATATTTGATCTATATATCTATCCCTGTAGCCATTTTTTGTGTAGTGTGTGTGTGTGTTAACGAGAGAGAGGGAGGGAGGAAGGGAGAGACAGAGAGAGGCAGGCTTCCTTGGAGTTTGAAAGCTTGGTGACTTTTGGTGTCTTCCTTGATTTTCTCCTTCCTTCGTGGATTGTATGTACCACCACCATAGTCTCCTTTGTGGAGTGAAACTTGGAGCAACCAAAGTGGAGGTTTGGTTTTGGGTCAAGCCGAGGTCAGGTGGTGTTCATTTGATTGTTTTCTAAGTCCGGAATCAAGATTTCTCGAGGGATTTCCGCGATAAAAGAAGTAGACTCAGAACAAGGAAGATGAAGAAGAGTATAATTGAAATATAATGCATCAAGATTGACAACTTTCTCTTTGAACATTCCTTGGTAAGATTTTATTAACTCACTTGGCTAATTAGTGAACGTAATGTTTGGAACTGTCGACCGTTATTGGAGGCCTAGACTGATCAACATATTTAATTCTCATATCAAGCATGCTAGAAAATTCATTTAAGTAAAATTCTCATGGAACTGGCTAAGTTCACAGAATAAGTGCTATTATATAAAGATTACCATACAATACTCTACTTGTATTGTTAACAAAATATAGGTATAATTAAAAACATAGGTTATTCTAACTAATCATTTGTAGGTAGGACTGTAGGTAGGACTTATTTGTATCATAGAAATGGAGAGAAGTTAAAACTTTGAAAGTTAAAACTTTGAAATGCTACTTATCAAGTCAATCATAAACTTGTTTTCCTACTGAATCTAGTATGTGGGATCTCTAGTAGCTAGGTTAGGTTTTCATTAAGCTGACCCATTAGTTTAGGCTTCACACACAGTTTCCTCGATGCATAGTTTATTCTTTAATAAAATAATCAATATTATTAATATGAGAGCAACTACCAAATAGTATCATATCTACGATACATATGTCAAGACTTACCATTATACGTGCCATTTTGTACCTTACATATGTAGCTAGTTGTGTCGATCAAATTATATAACACGCACATGTTTTCACCAATTAGGAAATCCTTCCAAAATCGTTGAAGTCATCACGCTTCCTTCTAACTTAATTGAAAGCTCTAATCGCTTTCAATTCTCAAGTTATATTAAGGATTTACACAAAATCACACTCCCATTAGTAAAACATATATATTAATAAATTCTAAATCCTTGTATTGGATAACTAATTTGTCCACATCGCGCACTTTTTAAGGTTAACTAGATATTACCTATAGTGCCGTTTATCATTTTAAATATTCTCAAATATATAACTATTCTAATTTGAAGAAATCAACGTCACGTCTTGCCCCCACAATCCTTGAGCACCACGAACTTGAATTAGGAATGTTATGCAAACGACCATCATATCTCCATAATTCTAGATAGAATAATTCTTGGTATACATTATGGACACCATTAATGTGCCCATAGCACAACTCTTCTAGATATGACTTGACTTAACAACATAATATTCATCTAACTACATAAAGTTCAATCATATCGTTAATTATGTTTATCTACTATATAAATAATTATTCCACTTCTAGTCAACATATTAATGACTAGGAATGTCCATGTCTCATAAAAGTTAAGTCTGTCAATTCATTTTATAGAAATGAAAAACCATTTTTTTTTTTTTTATTTCAAAAAGAAATTGTAGCCCCATTTTGAATTGTGGTAGGCCCGACTTTAATTGGGCCATATAAATTTGACAACTATTATAGACCCAAATTTAGTTTTCAATGCACCATATTGATCTGATCGCAAAATAGGTCAGGCCTCCAAATATCAATACGAAGACAAATAAAAATTGAAGTCATCTTTCATTTAAATTTCAATTTTCAAACATACATTATAAACAAAAACAATAATTTCCCTATTCCTTTTCCATAACCAATATGCAAAAATGCAAATTCAAATATCTCATAGCAAAGGAATCCATGTTCAAAATTGAAAGGTTATGCTCTTTCCAATGAAAAAACATGCATTTTACCGAGTGCATATTGCCACCTTCGAATTTTCTGTAATATATGCATTTTTCTTCAATTTGATTGTAGCAAAAATAGATATCCGAAATGAATTCATGGATACAACTGACTATGCATAACATAATATGCAAATTTTACGTTCAGCCAATTCTATTGTTAAACCGAAACTAATTTTAAGCAAATATTTAATTTATTTTTAAAAAATGCAAAATGGAAGCAATACGTGTATCAAATTCAGAATCCACACATAATTCAATGTTCAGTAAATCATTCAAATAAAATTCTAATTAGAATTTTAATATTGATTCTTACAATAAAAATAGAATAGAAATAGAACGAAAAATCAGGCTTAAGATTCGTGGATTAACTGGTGCATAATTTATATTCAGCTAATAAAATATACATACATGCAAATACGGTTAGATCAACGACTTATCGAAATCATGATACGTGCATAAATTTCGACTTACTGAAACGTAGAAATAAGGAGATAAAATGAAACGAGATATAAGAATGCATATCTCCTTAAGATCGATTTTGCCTCTATACTGGAGTTAAAAGGATCAAACAGACGTCAATCACTCAAGATACAACACTTCTAAAATAAATATGACGCAATATTAATTTTGAAGGATGAACAAATGCTTGAAGATACTCTTCTAAAGTGGAAGATATCCAATATTAAATGTTGAACACATATCTCAAAAATAATATGAAAATTATTTTGAAAGAATTTGGAGAAAAAAGAATTAAAATTGATTTGGAGTGAAGAAAATTAATATTAGGAGAGTACTATTTATAAATTTCATGGGTCTCTTCAAATTGTTGCATCTTTTTGGCACAAATTAATCTCAACAATTAGATCGCACCATTTCATAATCAATGGTCTAGATTATACTTTATCAAAAGGTCGTGGCTCCTTATTATGCATATTTTGTACTTGAAGAGTCGCATTCAGTCGATGCACTCATTTGAGACTTTTTAATTTACACACGTAAATTTTATATATTAACCATTAATTCCAATAGTAGCAAATCGTGCAACATTTCACACATATTTAAACATTTTGAACCATAAAGATTATGGAAATTTTCTTTCGCTGCGGAGGGGGAAGTACCTTTTCAGTTCCACTCGAGACAATATAACGCAATGCTGAAAATTTCCAAATAGACGAGTTTTTAATTAAA